ACAAATCGATTTGTAGGGGCGGCTGGTATTACGAACCGCCCCTATAAATCGATTTGTAGGGGCGGCTCAATCACCAGCCGCCCCTACAAATCAATTTGTATGGGCAGCCTGGGAACCGCTCCTACAAATACATGATTTGTAGAGACGGTTCGGTAGGGACGGCTGGTCAAACCGTCCCTACAAAGGGTTACCGGCCGCCCCTAAAATGCTTTTTTTGTAGTAGTGTATCAAGCTGTAGGAGAAACGGTAGATATATACACGAATGATATTGATCTACGGCGGCTTTGCGCATGTGAAATTGTGAAAATGAAAGCAAGAGGAAGAGATGTCATTTCTATGGTAACAGAAAAATCGTCTGAGTTCGCTCTCGGCGAACGTCTACTGAAATTGGGCTGGACCTACGGAGTATGGTTTAACCAATTCGATAAGAAAATGGGCTGGACCTATGGTTTTAACCAATAACCAATTCGATAAGAAAAGGTAATAATACTCCCCTCAAAAGAAAAGAAAAGGTAGTAATATGCATTTTCGTTGCTGAATAAAACATCGTATCTTTTGGACATTTAGAAACGCCCTAGCATGGATCGTGCGTTTTTACAGCACAAATGGAGACTTGCAAGATGCAACCGAACAACTTTTTGGACATCTAGGCTCCGTTCGCTGGTCTGAAACTTGGCTGAAATTAGCTGAAAAATACTGTTCCGGCTAAATTATTGTGAGAGAAAAATACTGTTCTAGCTAAAAAAAAGCCGAACAAGCCATTTTTAACATAAGCGAACGGGAACTTAGAAACATCGTATCTTTTGTACAAGCGCCAAACAGTCACGGTTTCTGCAATTTTCCTCCTGACGACTTGCGGCCATAGCCCAAAGCCCAAAGCCAATAGGAGTGGTCTAGCCACTGGCAGGCGCCCTACACAGGGGACAAATCTTTTGACGCTGACTGCATGCAGCTAGCAGAATCCCTTGATGGATAGTACTACTGCTGCGTACCGCTAAACGCCCTCTCACCATAATTACACATCTGATTTTAAGCCAAATTTAACACTATTTGGGTTAAATATCTTAAAATTTGACTAGATTATAAATCCTAGATTGTCACTGGTTCAGCCATGCTACAATAAATAGCCCTAGATATGAAACTATGGGCCTGTTTAAGACGACTCCGCTCCATATTTTCAACTCTTGCTCCATATTTCTTAGGGCTTTTTTGGCGTGGCTCATAAGGGCTCTGGCTTCACTGCATGTGTACTGTTGAACCCTATACATCACTGTAGGGAGGAGCCGCATCACTGTAGGGAGGAGCCGTCCCATCAACAGCTACTCCACGGTAGAGCTTGTGGAGCAGTCCTAAGCAATCCCTATACATATGTGGGCTCTAGAGTTGATGGTCCTATGCATAACCTAAATCGTAATAGGACTGCAATGTGCACATTGTACATGAAGGTCTGCTTTAGGGCACCTCTACTAATAGGAGTTATGATTAGATGTTATCTCATCTTATATGTTTCATACGTAAGGTGTTCTTTATTCATATATCTTTTCTCCTATTTGGAGAGAGAGAGAGAGAGGAAGAATATGCCTCATGCATTATTACACGAAAAGACTTTAGCTCTACCCTTACACGCTAGCTCAAAGGTTTTGTCTTTTCTCTCCTCCAGGTGGCATAGATCGAGAAAAACAGTCTCCTCTCCCTAAAAACTATCATATAGATTATAGAGGAATGAGATGAAAAAAAATGCTCCAGCAGATCTCCTTTCTCGATCCCCTTTTCCTATATTTTTTTCTCGCTCCCTCAAAGAAAGGGGAAGTATCATAGATTTTTCTCAATCTCATTTCTCCCTCCTCGTGTCACTGACGCGTGGGTTCACATGATGGGCGAGGGCCGCCATCACACGGGCCGCCACATCGGGCGCGGGCTGGTCGCGCCATTGAAAGGTCCTTGTTGGTTTTGGTAATTGAGTGACAACCTAGGTGGACTAATTGTGTTTATGTGAGATACACAGGTGATTAGTCCACAGGTACATGTGTGTGAGCAACATATGCCATGAAGGTGAAAATGGCTTGGAGATGTTGCAAAGCTCACACATGTGATGATGAAGGAGCTTATTGCACATGAGACATGACATTGAGTCATGTGATCAAGGTGGAGAAGATCAAGACAAGACTTGGCTTGATGGACCGGTTGCAAGCGTGAAGGGCAAGTCAAAGGCTTTGGAGTGATGGACCGCGTGGCGGTGAAACTTGAGCAAGACTTGGCGCCGATGGACGATAGCAACGGTGAAGAGCAAGTAGAGTCAAGATCGATGAACCAATATGATCATGTGATGATATGAAGTGGATCATATCATTGTTGATCGTGTTGGTGCATGTGTTGCATCGACATTGAAGGAGATGGAATGGAATGCGCAAGGCAAAGGTATAACCTAGGGCATTTCATTTCACCGGTCATAGGTGTGTAGAGAAGTTTATGACCGGGTTTAGGATAGATGGCCATACTATCAAGAGGGGCAAACTTGTTTGCATATCGGTCATCTAGTGCCACTCGAGTGATCTAACTTTGCATTGTCGCTAGGATCGAGTGGCGTGGCAAGTTGAGTGGCTAACATCCTTTGGGAAATGATTGTGAAAATGCTAACACACATACACATGGTGGTGTACACTTGGTGGTGTTGGCACATTTACAAAGGAGGTGGTGTTTGCAGGGGTGAGATGGGTTTGGGTCCCTCTCTCGGGAGGTGGTGTCGGCGCTTTCGGGAAAATAGAATGCCTATTTTCTATTGCGCCGGTTGCAAGTTCTTGTGGTTAGCACATTGGAGCAAGGGTGATGAAGTTAGAAGTGAAAACGAGTTAGTCGCGAAGATGCTGGCGTCGGTCAACTGACCGGACGCTGGATCTGAATGCACCGGACGCTGGCAGGGTGCGTCCGGTCAGGCTGACGTACAGTGACGCAGAAGCTGGAGTGTGACCGGACGCTGGCTGCGTCCGATCAAGTGTGACCGGACGCGTCCGGTCGAGGTCGGTCAATACTTCTTCGAAAACGACGACCGGACGCTGGGTTGCTTCGTCCGGTCGGTTCATCTTGTCGTCCGTCGACGGATGACCGTTGAGATCCGATGATCGGCGTTTGAAGGAGGGGACACGTGGCGTGCATCGCATCGACCGGACGCTGAGGTCCGTCCGTCCGGTCGATCGGACGAGCGTCCGGTCGTCCCGACCGCTGCCCGATGAAGGGGTAACGGCTAGTTTAGCCCTTGGGGCTATAAATAGAAGTGGCCCTCGGCCATGGTCGTCTTTGAGCACCTCAAGGGACTTAGTGTCCATGCTTGTGAGTGCTTGGGAGCCCTCCATCACACATATACTTGATAGTGATCATTCGATTGTGTGAGTGAGCGATTCTAGTGCGATTGCATCGTGAGGTTGCATCGAGTGGCACTAGGTGATCGAGTTGCGAGCCGGTGGTGCTTGTTACTCTTGGAGGTTGCCACCTCCTAGACGGCTTGGTGGTGGTCTCCGTCGAAGCGCGCAAGAAGCTTGTGCGGCGCTCCGAAGAAGTGCTTGTGAGGGGCATTGTGCTCGCCCCGCGGGAGTCGCGAAGAGCAACCTTAGTAAAGCGTGTCATTGAGCTACCCTCACTCAAGGGGTAGGTTCTTGCGGTGCCCGACGTGCGGGTTTAGCGGGTGATGCTAATTAGCCGCCGAACCACCAAGTGAGCGGTCGACACAACGGGGACTAGCGTGTTGGCAAACACGTGAACCTCGGGAGAAAAATCATCGTGTCAACCTTGTTCTTTCCGTTGGTTTGCATCCCCATTACACAAGCTTGCAATTACTTATATATATATCTTAAGCTTGTGTAGTTGCTCTTGTAATTAGATAGCTTGTGTAGCTAGCTAATTACCTTCTTGCTTGTGTAGCATAGAAGTAGCTTCCTTGCGTGGCTAATTTGGTTTTAGTAACCTTGTTAGTCACATTGCTTAGTTTGTGTAGCTAAGTATTTGCGCTCTCTAATTAGGCGTTGGTTGCCTTGTTATTGAGCATTGCTAGTGAGCTTAGTTAGCTTTGTGCTTTTGCTTACTAGCATGTGTAGGAGCTCCCTTGTTACTTAAAGTACTAGTGGCATAGGTTTGTGTGACCTTGCTCCTAGAATTGTTTAGGAGAGCTCTAGCTAGCCCGGCACCTTAGTTGCTTTATTAGTATCTTTGCAAGGTGCTAGTGAACATATATAGAGGGGTGTAGTCTTGGCTAGACCGATTGTTTTAATTCCGCATTTATATCGGTTAGCCGACGCGATTAATTTTAGAAAAGACTATTCACCCCCCCTCTAGTCCGCCATCTCGACCCTTCAGCCATCCAGACGAGCATGGTCGCCTCCTTGCCTCAATGGAGGGAGAAGAAGCAGAGGAGAGGGAGAGGAAAGGAGAGATACCACTAACCTGTGGGTCCCACGTAAGAAAAGGAAATGAGTTTTTCTCAGTTTGCTGCATAACCTCTCCCCTATAGTCTGGAGTTGAGTTTTCTCAATCCCCTGTAGTAAGTTTTAAGGGAAAGGGGAAAGGAGACCTAGTGTATGTGCTCTGGACCATTGAAGATGTACTTAGAAAATCTCTCTGAGCAGACGTAGGTAGCATGAATTTGGGGTGTGGTTGGTACGTGTGCCCCGTGGCCAGTGGTGGATCTAGAAAAAAAATTAGGAGGGGCTAGGCAAAAAGAGCTAGACCAACTTCACTCAATTATATCCCATACAAAGCTAAGATATAGCAGTTTTAAACCTTTTACATGATAACTATGATAAACAATCGAAAGTGCATCATAAAACGCATAAGAAGTAAAAGATACAATTTTTAGAACTAACCAACAAAAGATCGATAGATGATGACGCATTCACGCTGTTGTATTCTGCATGAATCATTAGAAGCAATCTATACAAGAAAAAAATAAATTAGTGACACAAATTTCAAGTATTTAACTTCAAAGTTTTGAAGGTAGAAGAGAACATATATCATACCACTAAATTGTTTCGAGGCACTAACATACGCCAGGTTTTCATGTCTTCAAATCGTTTTATGATTTTGTCATTCTTGATGCTTCTAAATATCTTCTTCTCAGTGTAACATATCATTAAGTCATTGAGCCATTCATCACCCATTTCGTTACGCAAATCTGTCTTTACAATAGACATAGCAGAAAATATCCTCTCAACTGAAGCTGTTGCCACCGGAAGAATTAATGTTAATTCAATGAGCCGATACACTAATCCATAAGATGTGTTCATTTTAGTATTGACCATAATTTCAACAACCTTTCCAAGCTCTGTACATCCAAGAAAGTCTTGAGTTCTTCTAGCACGACTGACAAATCCTCTCAGTTGACCAGGCAAAAGAAGGTCACCGACGTCAAAATCCGCAGCATAAATTTTAGCAAGTCTCACAAGCTTATCCACATCAAAATTAGAGAAGGAGTTCCTTGGGTTAAGACAAGCCATGCAACTAATAATTCTGAACTAACTTCACCAAATCGATGATTCATCTCAGACAAAATGGCATCTATGGCAACAAGGAAAACCTCAACATGATAGAAGTGCATGTTTGTTACCTTTTGCTTTCTACGTGTAGATGTCCCTCTAGCATTTATTTCCTTGTCCATATCTGGCACTTCAATCTCATTCTTATCACATAATATTTTCACTCTTTTGAATAAGGGATCCCATCCATTGTCCCTCATATCCTGCAACTGCTCTTTGACATCTATGATCAATTGCATTGCCTTAACAATGTCTTGATCCTTCCTTTGCAAAGCACGTGACAGACTGTCTGTGATGCTCAACAATTCTATCATTAAATGCATTATGAACACAAAATCAAACCTCTCCATTCTACCAATTAAACCAAATGCTCTACCATTATTTCCTGGTTTAACAAAGTCTTTCTTTACTATCTCAAGAATGTCTATGACAGCTTTCCACATCACCAAAATACGAAGTAAAGTTTTAAGATGTGAACCCCATCTAGTATCTCCAGGCCTTGCTAGGCTACATTCCTCATTCAAACCTTTTCTAGTGATAATCTCCCCACTCTCCAACTTTTCTAACAACACATCATAATGCTTTGCAAGCAAGGCATCCTTTCTCATACATGATGCGACGACAATGTTGACTATTAGAGGAACATTGTTAAAGAAATCTGCAATGGCTGGAGTAGAAGTGGCAACAGTAACAACCACTAATTGCAATTGATGGGCAAAACAATGCACATAGAATGCATAAGGATTTTCATCCCGAATCAATTTTTGCACACCATTAAATTCACCTCTCATATTGGAAGCTCCATCATAACCTTGCCCACGAAGCCTAGAGATTGGTAGCTTATGACTGTTAAGCATTTTGACCAGAGCTTCTTTCAATGCAGCAACTGTACAACTCTCAACATGCTGAAGTCCAAGGAGCCTCTCCATCACCTTCCCTCCATCATTCACAAACCTGCAAACCATATTTTATTTCATGTTAGTACAAGTGTACAAGTAAAAGTCGAGGTAAAAAAATAGAGTTGTCATCTACTAACCTCAAAATTACAGCCATCTGTTCTTTTATTGATACATCTCGGGACTCATCAATCAATACAAAGAATTTTTTATCTCCAATCTCATCCATAATCACTGACATGACTTCTTGTGAACAAGCTTTTGTAAGGTCCTTCTGTATATGATGAGATATCATTGTGCAATTTTTTGCACCTTTATCGTATGCATCCTTAACAATCTCAACTTTATCTTTGTACCAATCAACCATCTCTCTATATGTACCCTTGTTGTTTGTAACACCTCTGGTGTTTTGACCTATCATTAAAAATTTGACATGTCATCATATGCATTGCAAAGCATTCATAGAGTAGAAAATTTTGAATGCATTCACTAAATAAGGTTTATTTCATAATGTTGTTATTTCATGTGATGTGTTTCAAAACCCTAAATAAAGATCATGACCACAAGGGTCAAATTTCATGTGATCATGTGAGGCCATGTGTCATTTGACTCAAATAACCCTAATGGGCCATGTTACTGGTCAAAAATCAAAATTTAAGTAAAAGGAAGACAAATCAAATTTGAATTCAAATTCAAATCACAAAAGTCCTTTTTGCCCCTTTTGACTAATTCAAAATCCATGTGGAATTTGGGGTTGAGGCAAAAAGCAAAGTTGGAGATTATTTTATGTGGATCAACTTTGGTATTCAAAGTTTTTCAAGTTTACATATAAAATTTAGAGTAATTTTGAAATGATTCAAATACTCAAATGCACCCCAAATTCAAATTTCAATATGGAGGCAGAATTTGAAAATGTTCATTGAAGAAAAGTTGTAGAGTTTGAAAAGTTGAGCAACTTTCATTTTTGGAGATTTTCAACTTCTTTAGAAAATTTGAGAGTAATTTACAAAATGAACTTGGTGGCAACTTCTCTCATCTCCTCAGCGCAAGCAATCCCCGTAAAAGCTGTGTTCTAGTTCCGCCTGCTCCTCGCGCATCCGACCGAGCTGTTGCTACCGCCTGAGTTCGCCGAGAGCTCGCTGTCCACGTTCATCTTCCTCGCGGCCGGTGACCTCAACGGAAACGTCGATTCACCGTGGCCAGCCTCATCCGTCGCCGGAACTCCATCGTCGACGAGGTACGCTCCGCCGTGATCCTGGTCACCGTCGAAACGCGTCACCAGAGCTTCTCCGGTCCCGCTTGTTGCTTCAACACGATCGGGGTGAGCCACTGATGCTTCCTGTACGCTCTGTTTCACCGTTACTGGCCTTGTTTCGTCGGCGTAACGCCGCCGTGCCACCACGTCCGCCATGGCCGGTGTCAGCCTTATTCCATGCCGTAATCAACCTCCAAAGTGCCATAGATTGATGCGCCTAGTTCTTGTGGACGTGTTGGAACATTGGCCGTCGCTGTTGGGCTCACGGTCGGCGAGTTAGCGCCGGTCAGCGTCGTCGAAGCCACGGTCAATTGCCGAGGTTGGGGATGACAGGTGGGGGCCGGCTGTCTGTGAGAGCAAGAGAGAATAGTGCCTTTTGTTATTTTCTAATTTTGAATAGTGCTGAATCTTTGAAAATTTGTAGGAAAATAATCATAGCTCCAAAAATTCTCAAAAATTTGGTGTACCTTCTGTACATGCTCTATTATGGTTTAAAAATTTGAAACTTGAAATTTGAATAAATTTTTAATGTTCAAAAATTTAGTCAATTAATTGATAAATGCAATTTCCATAATTTTTGTAGGTCACTGTATAGCTCCAAAAATTATGAAATTTATTTTGGTACACTAATTTGTTATGAGGAAGCTTACATAAAATTTTGAGGTCATTTGGAACAAGTTTATTTTTGGGCTTATTTCAAATTAATTAAAAATTGAATAAAAGCAACCCTAATTGTTAGGGTTAGAGTTTAATTTTTGTTTGGGTCATGTTGTGTGACCAGTAGGGTTTCAAGATCAGTTTGGTCAAGTCACATGTGTGGTTCTTGCCGGTAGAATTGCAAGTTGGTTTGGTTGGTTTGCAACTATACCGTGAAGGAAAATCGTATTCGGGGTGTTGTTACATTTTATGTACCGTGAAAGCATTATGTTTACATTATCATCATGTTAAAGCATATGTTATCATTTCGTGTAGAACCCTAGAGTGAAACGATTCTAGTTGAGCAAGTCCTGAAAGAATCCCCGGTTGTCACGGGATTTGATAATTGTGGTACTGGTCTGGAACCTGAGATCGTCAACAAAGGCAAGCCCTGGTTTATGCATTAAACCATTACCTTGTTTACTTTGAAAAGTTTATCACTTATGTTACTTATTGCATTAAGTTGATTTACTTCAAATGTTGCCTACTTGATGCATTGCCTACCTTGTTAATTGTTTACCTTCCTTGAAGATGTTTTCATTTACAAAGGCGTAGAATGCTTAGAATGCTTATGGTAGGTTTTCAAAGTAAAAGTTTCGATACAATCAAAGATGGCATACTAGCCAAAGAAAGAAAGAAGGTAGAATGAACTAGAGACTAGTCGGATGACTTATCTTGAATGTTGGGTAATGTTGTCGACTATGTCGCTTAAAGGCCACTCATTGTGGATCTTTTGAACAAGACACTTTGTAGTACTGGTCACATACTCCGGTAAGCCTACTTCGGCTAATCCGATACCAAGACGAATGCGCACGCACTGGGAATAGTGAGATGGCGGGAGTAGCGTGTACCCTCGTAGCTTGAATGTGGCCGGATTTGAGGTGTGCTGTGCTCTCGGGTGGCGTGAAGACAGCTTAGTACGGGAGGATCCGGTAGCGATGTTGATATATGCAAGATTAAGTTCTACATATGTCGTGTGATAAGGAATCCCCAGCTGGGACTTGAATCAATTCGAATTGCCGGTGCTCCGCGGATATGGAGACTCGATTCATTACAGAAACAATGCAGGACTGGTGAATTACTAAAACATGAGAAAAAGAATGGAATGAGAAGGATTGGAACATGGGATATGAACACTAGGTTGGAGATAATGAACTAAAGTACTTAGGGGTAAAACTTGAAACTAGGATCAAGAATAGTAAGCTTTTGGCAAAGAACTTTTGAATCTTTCTACATCCTTACCTTGACCCAACACCTGCATCCCTAAGACCTTCGCCCTTTTTGGCCGGGTCAGTCTTGTTGAGTACTTTTATACTCAGGGTTTGTTAACCCTTGTTGCAGGTGAGTCGCATGCGCAGGCTTGTTTTGGTCCCTGCTGCATGTCAGTGTTTGAAGTCGATGACGATAAGGAATGATGAATGGCCTTTGGACAAGGCACTAGTTTGTGTGAAATAAATAATGTTAATGTAATATTATCCTGCTACTATGGTTGTATGACACTTATGGTTTTGTAAGTTTGAAACAACTGGTTTGTAATATTAAAACTTAAGTCTTCCGCTTTATAATCTCTGGTATGTATATTGAAAACTGTTGTAATCTGCAATGACTGTGATTGGGATCCTATTTGAAAAAGATTCATGGATGATTCGGGTTTCCCGAGAACACCCGACAGACCTGTTAAGTTGTTGGGAACTTGTGTACGCTATCTGAGGTCTGTTGAGACATCAACAGGTGCATGTGGGCCCGATTTCTTAGGAGGTTCTGCCACAGCTGGTATCAGAGCGGGCCCTATCTAAGATCATTGTAGGTTGCTTTTGAAAACCTTCAAACTGATTTGGATCAAAGAAATTAAACTGGATATTTTGAGTTCAAATTTCTTTCTTCTTCCCTCTAATCTAGCCTCAATCCTATCTTATTTGAAAGTTTGTGGTGGATAATATGATTAGGTTTGCCCTATGTATTAAAAATCTAGTACTTTTGATTGTATAAATCTTTTGTACTCAAATTCGTAAGATCAATTCATGCATCATGCTTGAGCACCTTGCATAATAATTCCCCTTAAAAGTGGTTGGGTAAGTAATGTCAATCCCATTCTTGCTAACCTCCATTGTCCT